TGTTTGTTTGCGGATTATCAAAGTTTAAGGGCCCTAGCAAAATCCAAAAATACCCTAGCAAAATCTAGCAAATTCCTAGCAAATTTTTGATACCATTTACATGACTCTAGCATAATATGCCGGTGCCAACTTGACGGACATACATTTATATGCATATTTCATGGATTTAATAAATTTTTTAAAAAAAATGTATAGTTTAATAATAAAATATTAGATATATGACAACTAAATTTCTAAGTTTTATATAGTATTACAAAATAAATTAATTCATCAACGGCTATTATTTTTATTGCTCCGGCTCCTAATGCACTTAACAATAATATTATAATCTTTATAGTACCGAGAACTCGTAATAGTGACCACCGCCAGCCTGTATTTATTTTTGTACAAATTTACCACTGTATTAATATTTGGAACATGACATAAACAAATTGTATAACCATAGCTAATTCGTAAACAATTATGTTTAATCATTAGGTTATCAACTTATACACAATATTATTTATGTTTGTTATAATACCGTACACATCTGCATGCAAGTGACTTCATTATACAGTGTACACTAGTCAGTAGTCAGTTTATTATTTTTCAAGCAATTATTTTCTAATTTTTTACTGTATATTATACCGCATATTTTGATGTTTTTTAATGTATATTTATGCACATATTCTAGTATTTTCTATTGCATAAAGTTCTGAGCCTTGGTTATGATATAAATTCGCGAGGGTAGTGCATTGTGCATATACAGTTGATGATAAATTAAACAAGCATTCAGAACTTTTCATGTATTCGATTTCAATTCATAAAAAATTATTTATTGATTCACGCAATAAAAAAAAAAAAAAAAACATTATGAATTGCGGTTGATTGTGTCTGGGAATTTTGCTTTCCGAATAACATTTCAAACTGCAGTTCGCAAACGTTTGGTATCAAATCGGGCCCGTTCATGTGTGTCAGCAAAATGTCGAAAACGACGCAGCCCTAATCCAGGCGCCGTGGATGTATGTTGTATTAGTGCGATTCGGCACACCCATGCTCACATAACTGCAGCTCTTGGTTATGGTCGTCGATGCCGGTGAGCAAATTACTTCACGGCGGGGGTCTGGAATTCGGTTGCAAAATAGATTACATTCCGCATCGCGTTGTTATCTTCGTCATCAATAATCCCGGGAATCGCGGTCAGTATAAACGCAGTATTGACATCAGCAGCAGCAGCAGCAGCAAACGCTTGGGGGCGGCTCGATTATCAAAAAAAAAAAAATAAAAAATAAAAAAATGGACGGGCGAAATGTTACAGAAACGTTATATTGTTAGGTACAATCGCGGTATATGTGCGAGATTGTTGTAACGTTTGCGCAACCTACCAGGCCGAAACTGAAGTCGAACTGACGGCAAACGATTCCGTTACTCTCGCTGAGAAGCTTCTGTTGGGATTACAACTATTTGTAAGGAATCCGTGCAAGCGGCATGACGTGTTTTATTATTTATTATCTAATCGCTGTAATTTCAAAACTCATATCACGGTGCGTTTCCGCATCCGACCGAAATAAATAAAGCCGATTGTAAAATACGCGGCGCATTTGAATGGTTTAGGGTTCGAACTATACCCAAAAGGAGAACAATATTGTGTATATGTATAATGAATTAATGAACAGCGTCATTAAATGTTAATACATTTAAGATTGTGTTCGGAAGAGTAACGATGATTCTACACATCGCATGCCCTGGTTTTACTATGAAACGTAGTGCACTAGCTATACCATACATGTATCAATGTAAACGATTTTTTTTTTAAATTCACTACACACTCCCGAGCAAACAGTCCGACAGTGCATACGCGTTTCGATGCTTCTTTCGGATTATACTCCATTGTACCTCTGTTTTGCACCAGGAAAAATTTCACTTTTGCTCTGTACGACTCTTCTTCTTCAACGCCTTACCTGGGCTAATCTACACGTCACGGGACGAGTTACTTCTCCAAACACAGTAATATAATTTTTATATACTAGTCCTACTTAGTTGCTAAGTATAACAATTCACAACACATTTTTATTACGTAACAACCACACGATTATATAACTATGCAAGTCCATGGTCACCGTCTCGCCCGGCGACCTTTGGACCCCAGATAACAACAAGCCTGCGATATTTCAAAACCAAACCCAACTGTATCCCCAATTAAGATTGTGAAAAATAAAATTGTTACTAGTATAAATAAAACTGGTAACAATGTAAATAAAAGCACTTTATCTTCATCATTCTCCTCTCCGTCTCAATCACCGCCTATCGTAACTTTTAAGAAAATAAAACCCTTCTTCACGACAAATCGGTTCGCGCCACTTTCCGCGGACGACAATTATATCACTGACAATAATTGTGTAAAGATTGATGCTCAGAGACCTCAAATCAGGGACAACAGAATACTACTAATGTTGCATATAAAATTATTTTGCCTCCACCTATATTCATCAAAGGCGTCCATGACTTCATTAGGCTACATAATCACCTAAAAGAAGTCACTGTCCCTGACTGTTTTTCGTGTAAATCTACCACCACTCACCTCAAAATTCAAGCAGATACTTCTAACAGATACATAAACATAATCTATTATTTAAAAGAAGCTAACGCACAATACCACACCTATCAGCCACAATTAGATAAACCCCTAAGAATAGTTATCAGATACCTCCATCCCTCCACACCTGAGGCTGACATTGCATCTGCAATAGAAGAAATTGGCCACACCGTAAGAAATGTCACCAATGTTAGACATCAACAAACTAAAACGTCACTACCCTTCTTGTTTGTTGATATAGACCCAAACGATAGAGATAGCGATATCTTCTCTACCTTTCTTCTGCATACGAAAATCAAAATTAAAGAACCCTATAAAAAGCGATAAATCCCACAGAGCCAAAACTGCCAATTCTACGGCCACACTCATATCTACTACGCCCATAACTCCATGTGTGTCAAGTGTGGTGGTAAATACCTCTCTACCACCTTTACAAAATCACCAGACCTTCCAGCTAAATGCGCCCTCTGCGAAGGTGCGCACCCAGCCAGTTATAATGGATGTACAGTATACAAAAAACTGACTCGCAAGCAGAACAACTTCTCAAGCAAGAAACCTTAACAACCACCGCCATTAAACTCCACCGTCAACGTTGAACAATCATCAGATCCCAGTTACTGAATTCTTGTCCAAACAACAACCACGTTCGTATGCCAATGTAACTAAGGGTCACCAACCTACCAAACCTAATACCACATCTACTAATAACAATGAAAGCGACCTTTTTGAATTCCTCAACGAGTTCAAAGCCATCATAAGCCCTCACCAATGTGCTCTCAAATCTTACAAATATCAATAATGCCAAATAGTCTTATATCAAAATCTGTTCTCATCCTAACTTGGAACCCAATTGGACTCGCAAATCACGAAAACGAAATCCTAGCCACACTCCAAACTTATAGGATTGATATGGCTCTCATTTCTGAAACACATTTTACTAACTCTTCAAACTTTAATTTATTTGAGTATTAAACTTTCAAAACTAACCACCCGGATGGCACAGCTCACGCTGGAGCTGATATTATAGTGAGATCATCATTGCTTGTCTACCCTCTCCCCAATATCCAATTACCTCACATACAAGCCTGTGGCATTTCTTTAGCACTAAATGATGTACCTATTAATATCTACGCAGTTTACAGCCCTTCTCGCCATACCATAACCCATAAACAATGACTTATTCACCAATCTTAGCTAAAAATGTATTATATAGGGTGATATAAACGCAAAACATATCTAATGGGGCTGCCGTATAAATAATCCTCGTGGTAATACCCTAAAAACTCAAGCCTACCTCAAAAACTATAAAATACACGCCCCTTCTTCTCCAACCTACTGGCCAACCTTACCCAGAAAAAGCCCAGACATCCTTGACATTTTCATAACAAAAATACCAAACGGTCTATATATCACGGTAACCAACTTAGATGATCTCTGTTCTGACCACTCTTCTGTCCTCTTCACAAACTCGGCAGACCTATTCTTATCCAAGGCCATATGGATTGGGATAAATTAAAATCATCTCTTGATAGCCAAATCAACCTCAAAGTTAGTTTGAAATCTACTGCCGACATTGACGACGCTGTTAACCTTCTAACCAAATCAATACAAGACTCAGCTTGGTGTTGTTCCTCTCCACTTCCTCCTAAAGACCACGTTAGGAACCCTTGCCCCTGCACATTAGGGCCCTAATTTCAGAAAAACGTAATGTCCGCTCTACTTGGCAAAGAACAAAATACCTCTCGGATAAATATAAACTTAACGATCTAACAAGTAAACTAAAAAGAAAATTGGCTTTAATTAGATCAGACAATTTTACTAGGCATCTTACTTCTTTATCTACTACTGAAAACTCACTGTGGCAAATCACAAGAAAAATACTTTGATCATAATCACTCAACCATTCACCAGATCCATCACCTAATTGATAACATTTCCTACGCTTTGGAAAAAAAACTTATATGCACGGGTGTATTCCTTAACGTGGTGCAAGCCTTTAACACAGTCTGGCATAAAGGCCTCCTCCTTAAGCTTAAAACTATTTTCCCCCCTACTATCTACTATTTAAATCTTACCTCCAAGACAGATACTTCTCTGTCCGTACAGGATCTGCCATTTCCAAAATATATCCGATATGTGCCGGTGTCTCTCGAGGAGCGGTTGCTGCTCCATTACTGTTTAACCTAATCAATTCTGATCAACCAATTACTACCAATATAATTACCGGGGATTTTGCTAACGACCAGGCTCTCTAAGCTCTCCACTCAAACCCTGAAACGGCCTCAAACCTCATCCAAAACCACCTATACCTTTTATCAACATGTTACGAGGCTTGTCCCAAAAGTAAGGTCTCCATTAATATAAAAAATTGAAAAAGTGCTTTATTAAAAAAATGTTTACATGATCATATTATACTCCTCATACACTATTTTTCGACATAATCACCGTTCATATCGAGACATTTTTGTAGTCGATCTGGAAGCTTTTGTATGCCAGCGTCATAGAACTCTCCGTCCACCTCTTTTTCCAAATACTCCATCACTACAGTCTTCACTTCTTCGTCTGAATTCAGCCTTTTCCCTCCCAAATGCTTCTTTAGGTTGGTGAACAAGTGATAGTCTGATGGGGCAAGGTCTGGGCTGTAGGGGGGGGGGGTGCGGGAGAATGTCCCAACCAAACTTATCCAAAAGTGCTTTTGTGTTGCGTGCCACGTGAGGTCGAGCGTTATCGTGGAAAAGACGCACTCCCTTCGTTAGCATTCCAGGTCGTCGGTTTTTCATGGCTTTACGCAATTTTTCAAGCGTTTCACAATACGATGCCGAATTAATGGTAGTCCCTGTTGGCATAAATTCGATGAGAAGGACGCCTTTCCCGTCCCAGAAGACAGTTGCCATAATATTTCTGGCTGATTGCGTCACTTTAAATTTCCTTTTTTTGGGGGAAAATGAATGCCTCCACTCCATTGACTGTTGTTTTGACTCTGGTGTGAAGTGGTAGACCCACGTTTTATCTCCTGTCACTATTGAGTCCAAAAATACAGCTCCTTCTTCAGCGTACAGCTCCAAAACCTCGCGGGAACTTTCGATGCGTTGGCGTTTGTGATCCTCTGTAAGCATCTTTGGCACCCATCTTGCACTACACTTTCGGTATCCCAAATCACTTATGATTCTGTGAATCGAGAACTTGGGTATCTACAACTTTTCTTCAAGTTCTCGAACAGTCATTCGTCGATCTTCACGAAGTTCAGACTCAACTTGTTCTTGGAGATTGTCTGAAACAGATGGCCTTCCACTTCTGGCTTCATCATGGATATTCGTCCTCCCATTTGAAAATTTTCAGCACCACTTCCTCACATTTTTAATTGACATAGACATCGATCCATAAGAGGTACAAAGTTGTCGATGGATGGCCGCCGGCGTCTCGCCACGTGAATGAAGAAAACGGATTACCGCGCAAAGCTCACACTGAGCATGGACAAATAAGGAGGCGGACGCTGACGAGGTTGACGCGCTCATCTCGTTCACGTGTTACAAAGGTACTAAACGTCCGATTCATCTAGTTCAAACTTTCATAGACAGATAAGAAGTTAATGGTTATATCAGTGGTACCAACTTATAAAAATAAAATTTTCTTTGCCGCTAGAAAATTGGAGACCTTACTTTTGGGACAAGCCTCGTATAAAGACTGGTGGATAAAAGTTAATGAATCCAAATCCGTTCACTGCACGTTCACGCTCCGATAAGTTGTCTATCCTCTTGTGTATTTTAATCACCTTCCGCTCCCATCTGATCAAACTGTTCGCTACTTAGGTCTTTATCTAGATCACCCGCTAACCTGGGCTACGCATATTCACACCAAATGGCTTGCTCTAAATAATCGGTCTCGTCAATTGCGTTTTTTTTGACATTTAAACATATAAATCTCAAGAATAAACTTCTCTTATGCAAATTACTCTTCAAACTAATATGGACTTATGGCGTCCAATTGTGGGGTGCCGCCAAAACCTCTAAAATTACTAAAATCCATTTCTTTCAATCTAAATGCCTACGAAAAATAACTAAAGCTCCATTCTAAGTCTCCAACGATACTCTCCACAAATATCTATCCATCCAAAGAGTAAAAAACGTTGCCAAGACTTTCTACAAACGTATGCACTCCAATCTCCACAATCATCGCAACCCCTTAATTTCGGATCTATCTGTCCCCACCATTCCTGGTGACCCCAGAAGGGGTCTAAAACGAACATGATGTCGTGATCTACTTTTAGACTAACCCCACCCCCACACGCCAAGAAGTTCCATCAATAGATGGCCTCTTCATCCGACTCCTCCTGTCCTGAACTGATGTAAATAATTGTGATTTAACTTGACTTATTGTTTATTACATTATTCATTGTTTTTATTATATTAATTCTTTCTTCACTTGTGCTTATTGTAAACCTTACTTTACAGATTGTACAATTCTCTAGACTAAAAAAAAAAAAAAATTCACTACGGCCATCAATTTTAGTATTCTCTTTCTTCGTTTATAAAACGAAATCGGTAAAAACGACGATAATTCCATGTAAATTGGAACGCAGTAGTATTTTCTTGAAAACTCGAAACACCGAGGAACAACTAAAACGATGAATCGAAAGTCAACAAATCGTGCTGTTCGTTTGACGATAGGATTACTCGGAGTCGAAAGCGAATTTCACAGCGAAGCTTCGTGTTGTTACACGTATATCGTTGATTGTACACAGAAATTGCAATCCGGTAAATTGCTTATTAAGATAAATTTGTATGACGAAGGGTACTACTAAAAAATCGATTATTTTTCCGAACATTTAAAATCTTTAAACAAAAATTGACTATATAAAAATGTATAAAATATTTTACATTCGGTACAGAAGCTTATTGTCAGTATCGCGTAAAATATTCAAAACATAAAATTTCACATTATTACCCTTTTTTATTTCGTTGAGTTTAGAAAAACTATATAAAAAATCAACAACACTTATCTAATATATCATATTCTTGTCCAGGTTCCGATTGAAAAATTTTATTGTTGGCATAAAATTATTATCATTGTACAAACTAATACATTTGTCATTTTATTTAAAATCTACAGTAGATAATAATAATACCAACTAACAGAGAATATTTCTAATTACATTTTTTATAATTCGTTTGTACTTGAGAATTCTGTTGTATTGTTTTTTTTCAAGAGTTTTATAAGTATAATTAAATATAGATCATTAACGGTAAATATTAAATCAATATACGAAAATTATTTATGATTAAATTTATTTTGTAATTTATAAGAAAATTCGAGGTAGAATAATCAATGTTTTTGAAAGTAACTTACATGCATGAAAAAAAATAATACAATTTTATGTTTTTGATGGAGTAAGAAAACTGTAATATTTTTTAGTAATAATATAATTCAAAAAACTAAAAACACTTAGGTAATGGTACGGTTTTTAATACTTTAATGTAAATGTATCACAGATAATAATAAATTCAAAGCTGGGCATTAACGAGTTAAAAGTTAAAATTAAGTTAAAACGTTAAATTAATTTTAATTATATTAATTAACTCGTTACTTTTTTTACAAATTAACTTTTAACTTAATAAGTTACTTTATTTTTAAGATTAACGTGTTAACTTTAAGTTAATTTTAATTAAATGTATTTAAATTAACTTAATTTTAGTATAAAGAGTAATGCAAATTATTAACCCGTCACTAGTCGCGTGATTTTTTTCTACATATGATCATTTGAAATAAACGTTCAGTCGCGCGGGGTAAATATTCTCCAAACAAATAAATTTTTCTGTACACGGGTGTGTACAACGAACTAAACAAGTTTTCAATTAAATAAATATCATTATCAAATAATGGTGTGATTTTGATAAGCTACTCAGAATTACAAATACGTTTTGCTGATAATGAAGTGGATACACATATTTATTAATAGACTGGGAGATTATTTACCCCGCGCAACCAGTGATGGGTTAAATGAAGTTTTTAGTATATTTATAATTTACAATTTTAATATGAATTTCCTCTAGACGAAAATAATATGAAAAATATCTTTAATAGTCGTTTTATGGGCTATATTTCATCATTATATTTTTATAACATTGTTATAGTATAAACACTATAAACCCATGGAAATCCTAAGAATATTCTGTGAAAATAGTAAATACTATGAGAGCGAGTGTTGATGTTGGATTAATCACAAAACAACTGTGGTATAATTTCCAATATTATTTCATTATTTAACTAGCATGTATTTTGTTCACATCACGTTCATAGGTATCTACATTGATTTTATAATATACTTATATTTATTACTTATATTTTATAAAATCAATGGTATCTATTTACACATATATGCTATATAGCCATATAAATGAGATTATTGATTATCTTATTTATGGTACCTAAATGATATGTGGTGACTTTCAACAACGATTGCTGTAATCATGACTCAACTATTTTATTATTTACCCTGTTTAGCAACAGTGGAAGTACAAAATTGGTAAACTTCAAATAATTGCATAGTATAATAATTCATAAGTTTGTAAAGATAACTTCTATAAATATAATTGACTATTTTAAATGTACAGTTATTTTTATATTCAAAAATAGATATTTAAATTTGTTGAATGAAAAGTTTAAAGCTTATAAAAATGTTATTTTTTAAGATATTTATTAAAGGTTAAACATTTGTTTTATTTTTATTTAAAAATATAATACAAATTAATTATATTTTGACTGATAAAAATAATCCATGTTGTGCTGAGCCTAGTCTTTTAAACTACACGGTGGCTGCATTTTGTCTACTCAGTGTAGAAAATATATTTGGGTAGTAGGTACTGCCTATTTGATTTTTAAAATTTGTATGAATCAATTAAAAATATTGGTATCTTAGTAGTTAGGAGAAAACTATCAATGGTGTTTTTTTTTTTTAATTATTGAATGTACTAGGATAAATTGATTTGAGTATGAGTTCAAAACTAAGATTTATTTTAGAAAAGTAGGATTTTTTATAGCTAGTTAATACTTTTATGTATCATTTTAAATTTTCCCAGTAATTTCTCGAACGTAAAAAAACTAATATTATGTGTGTAATTATTTATTTTTGCAAATTAGAAAATTTTAACTTTAAATTAAGTGAAAAAGTAACTTAAATTTAAATTAAGTAACTTTTTTTCAAAGTTAACTTTTAACTTAACGAGTTAACGAATAAATATAAGTAACTTTTAATTTAAATAACTTAACTAAACGAATTAAAAAAAATCGTTAGCTTGCCCAACCTTGAATAAATGTAGTACTGAAGTTCCGTAAAGAAAATGACTTGGGTTTGGTTTACGTATCTACATGTCGCATTTCTAAAAAAATGTTATTTATTCATCCTCAAAGTTACACAAATGTTTCTTTCTGATGATAAATTCTTAAAATTCAAATCTCCACATTGAACTTATTTTACATATCCTTCTTTTTTTTAAATTTAACTATGACATTTTAAACAAATATAATAGCACGGTTAAGTAAATAATGTTAAAGTACATTTAATTTTATGAATATTGTTATTTTAATAATTATCATATGAAATTAAAAAAAAAATTATGAAATCAAATTTATTTTATTTATATATAACCAACATTTAACATTTACAAACCAAAATTATATTCATTGCCTTAAATACAAGAGCTTAGAAAGCGCAAGAGTTCTGAGTAAACCTTATCTATACCACCACGAAAAAAATGTACCG